ATATATCATCAGGCTGCAAAAAGTGAAACTTATCCATCAACACCGGATCAGGCAGGTACCATAGTTACATCTACATGTATTAACAACAGCATCCAAGTCAGAGTGGATTCGAGCGATTTTGGCCACAAAGTGCTGTGCAGATTTTTCACAGCAAACTACTGAGTGGTCAGCACTATCTTCCTGTGGGCCATGATATAACAAACCATTGACTATTTGGAAGAGCTGTGCTGGATGACTCTGTGCAGATGCAATGGTGGCGTTGAAGAATGACTGCAACAGAATAGGCCTTCCAATGGGCTCTAGCCCTTGTTCGGTCAGATTCACTCCAGTTTTTCCACCATCATTTCTCTAGTCTTCATCCCACTAGTTCCATCACCACCAGCTCCCTAGTAAATGAGAGGGCTAGTTTGGCTCTGCCTCATGAGAGGGGTGCTTAGTTCCACAGTAAATTTTTATCAATTGTTTACTCCCTTTCTATTTCTGTTTAAAGTATTTTTTTAATTAATTTTCATGGAGTGAAGTAGTGTAAACCGTAAGCTCACCCATACCTCTCTCTCATTACCCTCCCAACAGTAATAACCATATCTGATTATGACATATAGTGCATTCGCACATACAGGCACATAGAAACAAACAAATCAGATACAAAAAGGAAGGAGTTTGGGGAAGAGATGCACATAATGTCTATATTTCTTCACTGAGCCAACATAACTATGATACAGTTCCAAGAATGTAGATGCAGGTATTTTGCAGTTGCCCCACCTCAGTTAAATCCTACATTCTTTTTTTGCAGCCAGGTCCATTGTTCTAGCCTGTTTCCCCAAAAATAAGACCTAACCTGAAAATACGCCCTAGTATGATTTTTCAGTTTGCTCATAATATAAGCCCTATTCCAAAAATAAGCCCTAGTTAAGTGAAAGCCCGCCCTCCACCATTGTGCAGCAACCAGAAGATGACCTGACTGTAAAATAAAACATCTCCTGAAAATAAGCCCTAATGCGTTTTTTGGAGCAAAAATTAATATAAGACCATGACTTATTTTCGGGGAAACACAGTATGTGTCATGTGGCGGGGGCAATTTTTTCCTCAGACTTTAACAGAATCTGAATAAAACTGCTAGGATGGCCAGACAGTATTGTTTTATCTTTAGGCGTCTGTTACTGGAAATACTAGTGGTTCAAAAGCACGCAAAATGCGAGTAGATAAATAGATAGCACCACAGTGGGAAGGTAACGGCGTTCCATGTCTAGTCGCGCTGGCCACATGACCACAGAAGACTGTCTTCGGACAAACGCTAGCTCTGTGGGTTGGAAATGGAGATGAGCACCGCCCCCTAGTGTTGGACATGACTGGACAAGTTGTCAAGGGGAACCTTTATTTTTTACCTTACTGGAAATTAATGTGTTTTGTTTTTCACACCTATAAAATATATTTGAAAAAGACTATTATCATAGAGGGAGGCTCCTTCTCAGACTGGGAGGAGGTAGCAAGTGGGGTACCCTAGGGCTCAGTCCTGGGCCCAGTGCTATTCAATATTTTTATTAATGACCTAGATCGGGATACAGGGAATGCTAATCAGATTTGCAGATGACACAAAATTGGGTGGAATAGCTTACACCCTGGAAGACAAATAAAATTCAAAATGATCTAGATAGGTTGAGCACTGGGACTGAAAACAACAGAATGGAATTCAGCAGGGATAAATGCAAAGTACTGCATCTAGGAAAAAGAAACCAAACACACAGTTACAAGATGGTGAATACCTGGCTCAGCATTACTACAAGCGAAAAGGATCTTGGAGTCATTGTAGATCACAAGCCAACAATATAATATGCTGCAACACAGACAAATGCTGTTTTAGGCTGCATTAACAGAAATATAGTCTCCAAATCACATAAGGTACTAGTTCCCCTATATTCAGCACTGGTTAGGCCTCACCGTGAGTATTGTGTCCAGTTCTGGACACTGCACTTCAAGAAGGTTGCTAACAAATTGGAACAAGTTCAGAGGAGGCTAATAAGGATGTTCAGGGGGGTGGAAACGAAACCCTATCAGGACTAGACTGAAAGAATTGGACATGTTTAGCCTTGAGAAAAGAAGACTGAAGGGAGATATAATAGGACTTTTCAAATACTGTACTTGAAAAGCTGTCATGGAGAGGAGGGGCAGGATCTGTTCTCTATCACTCAAGTTACAAGAAGCCAGCTTTTGGTTGAATATCAAGAAAAATGTCCTAACTGTTAGAACAGTACGGCAATGGAATCAGTTACAGTACTTGAGATGTGGTGAGTGCTCCAACACTGGAGGCATTCAGGAGAAATTTAGACAACCACCTGGCAGAGATCCTTTGTTCTTCTTCGTGGTCTCTGTGAATGCACACAAATGGGATAAACTGCGCCTATTTTAAGCTCTATTTTCTAGAGCTTAAATGACTGACCAGTAGAACATTTACCCGTGGTGTGCATGCCCCACCTGTCCGTGATAACTCAGTTCCCCAATAGAACATTTCCCCGTGGTGTGCATGCCCCACCTGCCCGTGATAACTCAGTTCCCCAGTTTACATGGGGTGAATAATCTATGTGATTATGAGGGGACAAACTGCAATTTTGGGTAATCCAGACTCCTTCCCATCCAATTTAGACAAAGGCAGGCAACTCTCCCAACCATCTGGATAATTTTCCAAACACCAACATCATGTGATGCCTAAGAGATTTTCTGAAAGCTAGGAAATCTCGGTAGAAAACCAGGGTTTGGTATAAGAAAAGCAAAACCAGGATGCAGTAAGGCTAAGAACGGAATTTCTTCAAAGACCAACTCTACATCCCACCTGCTACCAGGGCTCCAGTACTGTTGAGGACTGAATAATTTGCAGCTGGAAAACTAAACTGTTCAGACAATGCCATTTGTAAAGGGTTTGGTCAGTCTTCATTCTCTTCTGTTTTCAACACCATTTTGAAAACACTGTCAGAAACTGTCAGTCTCGGTTTTCCATCTAATCATACTGTGATTTTTCACCCTGCTTGAAGGATAGAGATGAATCACTTGTGAGCAGGGTTCTTATTCATCTTCACTGACAAAAAGTACTGTAGTTAGATTGAGTCTTACTGCTTGGGTCACAGCAAGGATATATGTCCTTTTTCTGTCACCCCAGAAAAACAATGGCCCAGCTGTGACTGGGAAAAAAAAAATCAAGGTTGCATCAAAATGATTTTAACAATCTGTGCTTTTCTTCCTGTTTCTGTATGTTGTTGTTGTTTGGCTGTTGAAGAAAATGAAGTGGCGAAGCAGGGCAGAGTGAAAGAGGAGTAGTTAATTTCCATTTTGCTGCACGTGATTTGATGTTTGGCTGATGTTCTCTAACTATATCCTTTATATAACACTAGTACAGGGGTGTAAGCCAAGGTCTGTGGGAGCAGATTTGGCTGCTGGCTTTTCTCTTATTTACTTTGCTTTCATCTCAAGTGGATTTGGCCTCGATTGGTCTTATCTTCAGCAGATGCTTATTAGTTCTGCGCAGGCAAATTCTTTGGAATACAGAGCTCATTCTTTTTAAACTTGTCAGTTTACTAAAGTAAACTGGCTGACATGAGATAAATTAGTCCAGAGATAACATCAAATCCCTCTGTCTAAAGCCATTGAAACCATCAATATATGGTTCACAACAGCACATTGCACTGGACCAGTGGCTGTGCAGTGACGAAGAAACAGGAGGACACACATACAGAAGCTCACAGATTTTGACTATGCTTAGTATCCAGCAAAAATTGTGGTTGCTATCAGAAGCACTGTTCTTGCAACTCTTGACTGAGCTTTTTTGGTACTGTCAGTATCCTCTTTTAATGAAATCAAGTTGATGGTTTACACTGCAACCTGTGGCAGAAAAACCCATACATTTAGGGTTGTGTGACAGTTTTGAACTTGCTGTCAGTGAATTCTTTTTTTTGCTCTTAAAACTAGCACCGGGAGTCATCCAATGAAATACCTTTCTCTATATGTTGTTCCTGCAATATCCAATATTATAAGTCTTAATCATGGCCCCACTTTATTGTTTCTACACTGAAACACTTCAAACACCTTAGCCTTTCTAAGGAAGTTGCTACAACCCCCTAATCATTTTTATTGTCCTTTTCTGCACCTTTTCCAGTTTTCTGGCGCCATTTTTAAAAATAGTTTGACCACAGTATTTTGTATATGATTAAACCATAGATTTACCTAAGGACAATATGACTTCAGATTTATTTACAAACTCATTTTCATAATCTCTAACATAGAACTGATTTATTAAAATTGACTCCTCTGCCACTTTCCCAAAACCTCTTGTTATCTGCAAACAAGAGCAAAACCATTCCCATTTTCCTGTTTTAATGTGACAAAACTGGACCCACAAGCTGTCCTCCCCCAGGCTAGAATAATTCTACTTAGCCAGTGCTGAGGTAGCTTCGGCCAACTAGCAATGTAGTTCTTGCTGGGGGGCGGGGGGTGGGGGCAGCTTCAGTTTTTGCCATGTGGAGCAGACAAGGACTGTGCTGTCCTTCCTCCTCTTCAAGGGCTTGCTTGTCTCCGAGGTAGCTGGGCGATGGCAGATGGGGGGAGTGCATTGGCGGCAGCAATGGCGCAGGGGGTGGTGTCCCTGGCTATTGAAAACACTGCCACTGCCACCACTACACCCCCTGGGCACTGCCATCCAGCTGACCGCTATCCAAGCAAACCATGCAAAGAAGGAGGGTTTCTCTTGCCTGGCTAAGACAGAGGCAGCCCTACCACTGATAGTGTGCATTGGGTGCTGTTTTAAAGCACAGTAGAGTTCATGCCATGTAAAGCAGTAAAAGTAGTTTCCCATTTAACCTGATTTCTACTGGCCATATAGTTGCAGCTACTACTATCAATTCAGATGCCATTGGTGTGAAAGCTGATCAATTTAAGGGAAGGTTGTGCCATAAACAGTTACAGAATGACATTTAGTTTACTTTATTGTGTTTTGTTGTGTGTTTTTTTTACAGTGGGATCTGGTATGTGATGATGACTGGAAAACCCCCTTGACTACCTCTTTGTTCTTTGTGGGAGTACTCCTTGGATCTTTTATATCTGGGCAGCTCTCAGACAGGTAAAATATATCCTATCAACTAGCTGTAATAGGGTTTTGATTTGTTTTTATTTATTTGCCTTTCCGAGACTCAGTAACTAAAGATTTAGAAAGCACTGTATGGGTGCGACTACACTGGAAAGCTGAATTGGAATGACTTGACTTGCTGCGATTTGATTCACAGCCTGTATTACATTTGAAATCACAGTCAGTGCTTTCCTTCCTTCTTCTGGTCCCTCCTCTGCTGATCTGATGGGGAACTGACAGAGGTATAAATATGGAAAACAATAATAAGAGTGACCCAGTGATAAGATGATGGGGTGATTTTGCGCTAATCATGTATATGTAAGATCTTTTAAAAAAATTTTTGAAAAAGGAGGACAATCAGGGAAGAGGAAAAAAAATACTGAGGCATGTTCCCCAGGCATGATGTCCTGACTACTTATATCACTGAAACACCGGCTACAGAGATGACCCTGTCTTTATAATAATGTATCACAACTAACCACACAACAAACAGCTCATTTGAATTGTTCTGGCTTTTAAAAAGCAGAAACCGTCCAACAGCTGAGAAAAAAAATGCTTTGGCATCAAAAAGGGCTGGACCAATTTCAATCAGCCTTTCTGCCATGTGGTCAGTAAAAAAATATTTCACCCATTTTATAACTAGAGGAAATCCTGCAGAGTTTGGCCATGTAGTCATAACCTATGTCGCGTGGCTGACCATCTGCTCCTTTTGTCAATAAAACATCAATCATGTGAACAGTGATGATGGTGATGAACTGCCACTCTGTCCACCTGAGTGCTCTCCTGAGAAAGTCAAACCATTTTTGTGGCTAATCTGCAGAAGATTTAGCTTGTGAATTGTATTATTGTAACATAATGATGATTATCTTAGAACTGCAGAACAGGAAAGAACCCTGTGGATCATCAGGTCCAGCCCCTGTTAGGGAGGAACAGCGAGGAATTCGAACTCCCAGCCTCTGACTCTATAGCCAGATATCTAAACTACTGAACTATCCAGCGGTTCATGATGTCCAGTTGCAACTACAGTACAGTGCTTATTTTCTGACCACATTATACTGCCTGAAGGCAATACTATATGTTGCCCCTGGCAAATTTCCTACAAGTTAGACCATCTCTTCTACTACAGTGCTCGAGAAGCTTCCGTTTACAGGGAAAACATCTGCTCCTTGAGCCTTGGGTTGGAAGGATCACAAAGTCTTTTTCGCCTTCACGGCACTTGGAAATAAAAATATTATGGATTCATTTACAGCCTCCCTGTTTTTTTTGTTCTTCTTTTCCTCAAGGTTTGGCAGAAAGGCTATTCTATTTGCAACCATGGGTGTGCAGACGGGTTTCAGCTTCCTGCAGATCTTCTCAACCAGCTGGGAAATGTTCACAGTGCTCTTTGTTATAGTTGGCATGGGGCAGATTTCGAACTACGTAGTCGCCTTCATATTAGGTGAGACCATTTTCACTCTTTTAAACTGTTATGTAACAAGATGGTTTGAGTATGTCAAAACAATATCCCTTAGTAAGGAATACATTTTACTCTCTTGGAGATCTGTAATTGTGGCGCTGAGAGCCAGAGACTAAACAGAACTGGTACTTTCTTCTTTGGCTCTCGTTTATCAGCAAGGGAGCAGTGATATCAGCTAAAGATGGGCATGAACCACTGGTTCTGCGGTTCGTGCTGGTTCATTTTTCATCCAGACAGGTGTTCAGTGCTTCCCAGCCCTGCCTCCTCTGACAGGCACCGACTCTGAGAGAGAGAGAGAGAGAGAGAGAGAGAGAGCCCCAGCTTCCCAGCCCTCTAGGTGCTGCCTCCAAGTAGACGCGCACCAAAGGAGATGAGGCTAAGAAGCACCACACACCTGTTTGGCCAAATCAGCAGTTTGTGCCCCGCTGATTGGGAGGGGAGGAGTAGGGTACACATTTGGGTGTAGTTCTCAGGACTAAATTATATGAGATGACAGAAATCTGTCTTTCTCCTTTTTAAAAAAAAAGAAGAAAGATACAATTAGAATTTCAGCAGTGACATGCAAATCGTTTTTAGATACTAAAATCTGAATTATTTTATGAGAACTGTCAAAAGGAGGACAATACAGTTCTCATCCACAAGAGACCACTGAAAGCTGAATGAGTGATGTCAATATGTTCTTCATTGAAATTAAACTTTTTTTAATGTTGGGTTTTTAATTTTTTTAAGGATTTGGCTAGCATGCAACTGCAAGATTTATTGTCATGAAAAACAAAAATAATTCAGCTTCTTGAAAAATACTTTCTTTTCTTCAGGTGTTCCATGTTGTTATATGTAGTGTCATCACCGTCTATAACCCTTTACAAAGTTTTATAAGCAAAAAAAGAGAAGAAAAACATCTGCTTGACCATTGTGGGTGGTGAAGATAATTAAGAAAGGGAGGGAAATGAGATACAAAATGATCAGGCTACTGTACAGAATAAGGCTTTGTATGCTCCTGTTTGAAACTGGATGCAGTTCCATAAAACAAATCATTGGAAATACAGATTATTGGTTTTTTAGAATCTCGCCCCATATTTACCTGTGTCCCCCATTTCATTGGTAGAACATTTTTTATGTTCTACCTACTTGGGTTGTAGCTTTCATATTAAATACAGTCTTGTTCTGTTCCTGTTTTTAAAAAAAGAAATGGCAGAAGGTATACATAAAAACATTAATATTAATGTTAACAATGTTAATGTAGTATTGGAATGTTCTTGTCTGACTAATTAAGCATTATATCACATGTAAAGTGTGGGTGAGTAGCTCTTTCAGTTTTTCACTTTTCCAGTGAATTTTGGGCAAAACTGTTTCTTGAACTTGCTTTTCATGACTTTCTGCAGGGTCAGACTGGAAGGGAAGAGGAAAGATGAGCACACAGAATATATTTTTTTTAATTTAAACCCTCTGTACTTTGTCCTTCTTCTTTGTGGTCTCTGTGATTCATATGCATGGCTTCGTTCTGCGCCTAGGCAGACTTCTCCAGAATCTTCTGGAGCCTGACATAAATATGATTAAGCTCCACGCAGCAGCATAAACTGAAAAACTGTGCATATCGGTTTAAAAGAATAACACTCTATATCTAATTGCAAGCTATCAAGTCTATTTTGACTTACAATGACTTTTTCCAGGGTTTCCTAGTTCATAAAATACTCAGACATGGTTTGCCACCGTCTTCTTCTGGAGGCACCTTGGGTCTGTGCAGCTTGGCCAAGTCTACACTGGCTGGCTTTTCTCCTGAAAGCCACAGTGAGGGAATCAGTGTTCATGGTGTCTTCGCAGCTTAGGTACCCAGTTCACTGGCCTCTCCAGCCAGCACTTTTATTAGCAGTATAATTAACAATAGTGATAATCAAAGCCATTTATTGACGGTATGCTCTCCAATATAACAAAACAGTTTCTAAACGAATAAAATACATATCATTTATAGCTGCATATTAAGTATGGAGAACAATTAAAGCCCAGCTGAGATTCAGCATCTAATGATCAGGGAGTACCTGCAAAAGATGAGTGCATAGAAGTTTGTGCATGCCTATTGCAATAAGCTGGAAGAGTTATCTGCTCTTAAGGAGAAACAGTTGCTTTTTTCTAGATGATGGGGATGCTTTTCCAAGCAGTATTCATGCTATGCAGTTTGATTTGTTCCCCAGGTTGGTCCCACATCCATGTATATTCTGTGCTGTAATACTGTGCTCGAACATAACCTGGCAAACAGTACACACTCCTGGGGTTCTCAAATCTATGGAGTTCTCGGAAGCTTATTGAAGGGTTATTGATGAGGAAATCTGCAATGGAAGAAAACTTGTTCCAAACATTTCATGTCTGTTTTCTTACCATTAGTGAACGCTGTTATGATCAAATGATCAGTGTTAAATTCAGTAAACAAAAAACTCTTGGCTCCCTCAGTTTCTTAATGTGTCTGTTTCAGAACTGTTTTATGAAAGGAATAGCCCATCTTGTCATTTAGCTATTCTCAGGCATAATGTTGCTTAGATGATGTTCATTTTTCTCCTGTGTTATCATCTGAATTCAGGTACAGAATTATTAGGAACACAGCATGCCACCAAGGTTTTACTGGAAGATAACTGCTTTGTGTTGGTTTCTCCTGTAAAAATAACTGTGATTCCTAGTGTGCATCTCGCAGACCTGTCATACCTTAGTCTGTATCTATATAGAAGCTTGAAGACAGGATGGCCTTGCATGCTCTGGTCCATGGGGTCACGAAGAGTTGGACACGACTAAACAACAAACAACAATTTAGAAGCTTAGTGTTGGCCTGTTTTATCTGGGTCAAATATCACACTGCAGCTAAGCTGCCTCATTTACCTGATTATTGCAATTTCTATCATTCCATCATTTTAAACAGTGTTTTTTATTTTTTATGTTTTTATTCACTTTATGTAATTACATTCTTTAACTGTAAGCCCCCTTGAGGATAATTTGTGGCACCAAGGCAAGGGCTACATTGAATAAACAAACAAACAAACAAATTGTCAAGGTTTAGTTTTTATCATTTAAGCATGTTACATTTATAACATAACTTTATGAAGATAAAGCTTGATCATTTTGTTTCTTCTTTCTTTTTATATTCAGTATCTTTATGTATTTGTATGGGTCATATGAGTGCAATAAGTTTTATTTTAATGTTTAATGCCAAGCAGTGACAGAATTTCACAAGGAAAATCTGGCACTTCTGATAAAATTACTGTACAATCTGTGGGTAAGCATCTGTTTTTTTCCTACCCACATTTGGAGAAAGAGGAATGTAGAAAGCCAACGCTTGCAGCATTCTAGCTCATAATCAATGCACTGGCCAATCTGGCCATAGTATATGGTATGGAAAATAACAGATTTCTATACAGCTTGGCAGATTTCTCTTCTCTTTATTCCAGCACATTGTTTCATGCTGCTGTAAAATATCTTGGGAGGAACACCTGGAATCTTGGCAAGACTTTCTGTGGTTGTTCTTTAGAGGCTTCAGAATAATTGACCGTTCAAGTACAAGCACTAGCAAGTAGAACTGGTGGCCCACTTGACCTTCATTAGACATTGTTGAAGTTGTCGAGGGATGATCCTAAAGCATCTCTCTGGCCCATCAAAGTGTAATATAAGCAACCTGACACATGGCATATGGGAGTGCTTTTCTTAAAAAAGGAAGTCTACTCCCACTTGGATGTATGGACCAAGCTGTCTCATTATTTGCATCCTTATCCAAGCTAGTATTCTTCTCTAAATCTTGTAATGATGCTTGCTATATTTCATAGACCTAGGGCATTTAAGGAGAGTGAAATACGGTATTTAAGTGATGCTTGCTATATTTCATAGACCTAGGGTATTTAAGGTATGGTTTTATCAGTTCCACACCCCCAGTGAGTTTCCATGGCTGAACAGGGATTTGAACCCTCATATCCAGAGTCCTAGTCTGTTACTCTATCCATACTGGGTATCCCAGATATAGTAACATTTGTTAAAATAGGCTAATGGAAACTCCAGTGATTTTATTTAAGAACTTAAAATTAGGTGTGCTTAGATGATGGCATGATTTGTTTATAAACGAGTGCTGGCTTTCAAACAAAGCATTTTATTTACCATTTCATAACCAGACATTATTTTGCAGAACCGATGGCAAAAGCTAGTTGCAGTGGCTTTGCTTCACTAGGCAATGTGACCCATCACAGTAAGATACTTATGGAAGACTGGGCTGACATGCAAGCCAGACATTAAGTGGATTCCCCAATCTACCCTACATCTAACAAGACCTGAGCTTTGGAAGAGTATTGTCTCAGCATTTTTTTTTCAGTCCGCAATATGGGAGTTACTAATATTGCTTGTAAAGTCCCAGTGGCTTTGCTTCACTAGGCAATGTGACCCATCACAGTAAGATACTTATGGAAGACTGGGCTGACATGCAAGCCAGACATTAAGTGGATTCCCCAATCTACCCTACATCTAACAAGACCTGAGCTTTGGAAGAGTATTGTCTCAGCATTTTTTTTTCAGTCCGCAATATGGGAGTTACTAATATTGCTTGTAAAGTCCGCTTGTTAAATTGTCTCAGCATTTTTTTTTCAGTCCGCAGTATGGGAGTACTAATATTGACCAACCTGCTTGTAAAGTCTGCTTGTTAAAATGCACAGTCATGCTGATCAGTTACTGAGGAAAGGGCAAACAAAACTGGCATAGTCCCAACGTCTTCATGAGTGCATATTTGAGCTTGCCCCAAGGTATGTGAAGCACCTTCAGTAGTCTGAAATGTTACTTGAACACCAGGGCCAGAATCCTGTTAGGGTGGAAAATCACACGCACCTTTTGTTTGTGTGCCTGGTCCCGAACTAGCTGAGAGATTGGTCGTGTGGAGAGGGGAACTGCCAAAGATGAAAACTTGCTGTGCAATTCCTTTATACACATAGTTGTTATTAATATAATACTGACCTGCATATATTACCAAGGGCTTACAGAATAAACCAGACAACAAAAGAATACCTGCATATATTACCAAGGGCTTACAGAAGAAACCAGACAATGAAAGAACTCGCTGTGGCCATAGCAAGAGGGTGAAGGCTTTGGGGGTTACAGAATCTATCTTGTGTGTTACTGAACTGTGAGATACATGGTCTGGAGCCAGGTGCAAGAACCATACACTTTGAATATGAAGGATGTCAATGTCTTTGAGCAGCTCTTTTACTTTGATCTGAGTACCCAAACTGACTAAGCACACAGTCCATCCACATACATGGTCTGGAGCCAGGTGCAAGAACCACACACTTTGAATATGAAGGATCTTAATGTCTTTGAGCAGCTCTTTTACTTTGTTTGCTCTGAGTACCCAGAGTGACTAAGCACACAGTCCATCCACCCAAAATCTGTTTCTAGAAAAGCTTTGGACAATTGCATCAGGAATAATATACAGTATTAATGTTAGTTTGTAGACTTTTGTGACTTACAAGGGATTGAACAACCTCATGTTTAGCTTCCTGTAGAAAGAGAAGCCAATTCAGTAGGTTTTGTGTCTTGTTGCAAAAGGGTTTTGACTTATTCAGACTTATTCTTTGTATGCCTCTGTGTGTGCTAGAGGCAGAGGTGTATCCAGTGCTTTAAGTGTTAACTGTTCTTGTGATCAGTGTGGAGGAAACTGACAGAAGGATTAGAAAGGGCAACAGAGGAGGTGAAAGAAGGTAGAGGGAAGAGAGAAACTTCACAGCAAGGCAGGCTTCTTAAAGGGGTATACATTACCTTGCGGGCACTTCTCTAAGCCTTGTGATCAGTGGCAGAAATGGAGGCATCACAAAACTGGTATTTAGAAAAAATTCCTGAATATTTTCTCCTGCTTAGTGCGTGTAGTGCTGCAACTAAAGGATGCCCTTAATCTGGTTTCATGTAGAATCAGAAGCATCAGTGGTTTAAATGTTTGCTGTGTATCAGAAGATCACCATAAAGTAGAAAGGAGACTGACAGAGAGACATGCAGGAGATGACTATGGACAATAGTGGCAAGATGAATGTCCAGAACCGTTAAACATAGTAGTCTTTTGTTTTATTCGATCTTGTTTTTATGCATGTATTGCTAGTCATGCTCATCAGTACAAACACATGAAATGTAATACTTTTGTCCCCCCCCCCCCCAAACAAAAAACCCGTAACAATTGTTTGGGGAAATAACTGTGCCTCTTTTCCATTGTCTTTCTCACCCTCTCCCCTCAAATAGGCATATCAATAATTGGTGAAAACCAATAGCATTAGTAAGTTCTCCCAGCCCTTGCTTTATTGAATCTGGTATGCTATATCTGTAGTTTATCAAACTCAGCCCAGTATTCATATTAGGCAGTATGTAAGGAATCTGTGAAAAAGTACACTTTCATTAATTATACCAGATCTGCAGCTCAAGTAATTAAGTAAATCTACCTGTTTTCCTGGTAGTATGTAAAATAAATTTTGCCCTTTGTCTCAATAATCTGTTATAGTGTTGCAAAGTGCAATTTAAGTTGGTTATGCTAGATAACTTTTCTGTATTTGTTCCTTTTGTACCTTTTGAAATTGGTTGTGGAGTTAGTATCTGCCATTCCCTGAGCCTGATCTGTATATGCTCAGAGGCACTCAGAATATTTATGATTAAGAATCTGCCCTCCTTGATTCACTGATTTTCTTTGTAAACACTCTATAATATGGATAATTGTCACTTGATTGGAATAAATATATCATTCCTTTTAAAGCCAGTTTCTTTATTTAACAATTTAAAACTCTAGGATCTATTTTTGTCCATTTGTTCATCTTGGTAATCTAGGTTTTATGAAAGTAATTTTTCTTAGCTAGTGCTAAACAAATAGGATTCAGAAATTTTTCGTGATCTACTGAAAATTTCCCAAAGGTCTACTAATAGATCCCAATCTGCTCTCTCTTCATGTCTGCCTGATACTTTTACCAAACAAAGGGGCATTGCACAACTTTCTCCTTCAAATAGTTCTGGGTTTTTTGTATGGTTGTTAAGAAACAGTCTTTACTCTGATATCTGTCTTGATGTGGCATTTTTCTTTAGAGAGACTAAGTAATGTTTGCATTTCTTCCTACATTTTTTCCTTATCACTACCTTTATTTTCTATTCCCAGATTAAATTATTTTTGTTGTAAAGTGTGGTAAGATACAAACAGTGTATTGAGGCTTAACCAACCATATTAGTGCAGCTGTTAATCAGAGTGTTGCTAAACAAATAGGATTCAGAAATTTTTCGTGATCTACTGAAAATTTCCCAAAGGTCTACTAATAGATCCCAATCTGCTCTCTCTTCATGTCTGCCTGATACTTTTACCAAACAAAGGGGCATTGCACAACTTTCTCCTTCAAATAGTTCTGGGTTTTTTGTATGGTTGTTAAGAAACAGTCTTTACTCTGATATCTGTCTTGATGTGGCATTTTTCTTTAGAGAGACTAAGTAATGTTTGCATTTCTTCCTACATTTTTTCCTTATCACTACCTTTATTTTCTATTCCCAGATTAAATTATTTTTGTTGTAAAGTGTGGTAAGATACAAACAGCGTATTGAGGCTTAACCAACCATATTATTGCAGCTGTTAATCAGAATGTATTCTGAATACAGTGGTGCCTCCCAAGACAAATGCCTCGCAGGACAAAAAACCCGCGAGACGAATGGTTTTGGCAATGGGGTTGATGGCTCGCAAGACAAATGTTCCTATGGCCGTGCTTCGCAAGAAGAATGTTTTCCAATTTTTTGTTCCTGCCTCATGTTTGCTGACTTTTAAATGTTTTTCTATGATGTTTAAAAAGTTAAAGTTTTTTGATTGAAATTTTTAAAATCATCTGCACAATATGTATGGCTTTAAAGAGCACTGGATAAACCCTTTGTAAACCAAATTTGACTTTGTTTTGACTTTTTTTGCCCATAGGAACACATTAATTAGATTTCAATGCATTTCTATGGGAAAACGCGTTTCGCAAGATGAATTTTTCGCAAGACAATGTTAACTGCAGAACAAATTAAATTCATCTTGCGAGGCACCACTGTATAAAGATCTGTTTCTTCCCTGATCTTTTGTACACTTGCATGATTTGTAGGCCTGATAAAGAAAGAATTTGACACTTTGGGGCACTCACAATTTTTTATAAATATTAAAGAGATCTTAGTCAATGAGTTTTAGTTTATTTATATTTATATTTTCAAAAAGGTGTATAAGCAATAATTCTGAGGTAACAGATATGTATGCAAAAGATAGTACCTGCATGTCTTTTAGTAAATATAATCTAACAATTGATATTTTCTTCTCTGCGTGAGAAAATTGATAAATATCTGCCATCCCTGTTTTTTGTTAGTGCTTGTATTAAAAGGAATGTCTGTAAATGGTCAAATATTTATTTTTAATCTTCTACAAATAATGATACTTTTAGAACTAATCAAATATGTTTCTGAAAATCAGTTAAATCTAATAATATTGATAAAATTATTGTGTTCATGGAGTGAATGGGAAAAATATTTCCACCCTCACTAGCAATTAATACTTAAAAGTTGGAGTTAACCAATGAAGCTGATTTGGGATAGGTTCAAGGATGAATGCAGTGAACTAGTTCTTCACCAAATTTATCGTGAACTTGTGGAATTCATAAGGTTTGTTGGTAACTGATAGATTTTATAAAAGAGTTATACAAAATTCTTAGACATTGTGCAGAAGGTACCGTATTTTTCGCACCATAAGACGCACTTTCCCCCCACAAAACAGGGGGGTGGAAAGTCTGTGCGTCTTATGGAGAGAAGAATACAGATTATATTTTCCTGTTTTCTTCTCCTAAAAAAATTGCTGCATCTTATGGAAAGGTGCGTCTTATGGAGCGAAAAATACAGTACAACTGATAGATTTTATAAAAGAGTTATACAGAATTCTTAGACATTTTGCAGAAGGTACACCCGTATTTTATTCCTAGTTGAGGCATTTAAGTGGAGCCTCTGTACATGCTAGCTGTAAAGAGCTAGAGACAAATGAAATCACCACTACATTCATGCTGTGCTAGCATGACTGAGAGCAACGCAAGGAAAGCTGTGTCCCATACAGTGCGGGACTCCAGCCAGTATAGTTGGAGGCGATGGGAATGAACATCTAAGGAACCAGAGGTTTCCCACCCCCAGGTTAAAGGAATGAGAATATGGCTAGCTGTGTTGAAAACATAATTATGGACTAGCTGCACCTTGTTAGATCTTGCAAAGGCAAGCCTGTAATTTTCTTACAGATGTTGAAATACATTGTCAGTAATGCTACAGCTGTGTTGGATAATCCCATCTGCAATATTTGATTTATTCACCCTAATCTTGTTTTAAGGTTAGTCTAATTTTGGTCCATGCAATAGGACAGATGACATTCTTTGAAAGATTGTATTCGTTTTTCAAAATGCAATAAAATATTTTGGGTAAATTTAAAAATTAGAGTTAAGATGCTAACCCACACTCCTTGTTTTGAACAGGCACAGAAATTCTTGGCAAATCAATTCGTATTATATTCTCTACATTAGGAGTTTGCATATTTTTTGCAATTGGCTACATGTTGCTGCCACTATTTGCTTACTTCATCAGAGACTGGCGGATGCTGCTACTGGCTCTTACTGCACCTGGGGTGTGCTGCGTTCCGCTGTGGTGGTGAGTTTAACTGTTCTGAAAGGCGTTCAGCTTCAGAGAAGTCTCCTCTGTAGCTGATAACCTTCCACTTGCCTTGTTTATATAACCAGCTGGAAATTCTACAGCCCTTGGTTGCTGTGGATAGACATTCCCCCCCCCCCTCACCGAATAGCGTTTTGCTTGTGAAGAACAGAGAATTGTCTTGAATGTCAAACATCTTAAACGAATTATTTTTCATCCTAAGCACAACTGACTCTAGTATTTTGGTTGAGCACATCCTGTGCTAGCTCGTAATGTTCTTTAGAAAATCTTTCTGGGTTATCTTATCCTTTTACCTCCAACTTTTAAAAAAATTGCTTTCCTTTGCTGGAGTCTCAGCCAGTGCTCTGTGAGATTTCTGTAGACCTTTCCCTTTCTTAACCTTCTTCAATCTCCATTTCCTTTCTGGATGCAGCTACAATTTTTCTTGACAGGTCAAACATACAGTGCAGAGTGTGCACTTTTAAAAAAAAAGAAGCAAACATAGAAAAGCAGTTGTGATTAAAATCTGCCTGATGCTCTTCGTCTGGTTCAGATTACACTATTTCAGTTGTACATCTGCTATATCTTGGATATGTAGAGGATCTGCATAACAGTGTTATTGACAGATTTGGTGGCTCTACGCACATATAGGAATATTGTAGGACATTGTAATTTTTTTTCTGTAGGAATAGATCTGCAGTAAAACTATTGAATGATCTAATGATTTCTGTTAAAGAAACAGACTTAATACTGTATAAATAAAATCAGGAAATCACTGAAGAAACATAACACTTCTTTTCTTCTTAAAATAGGAGTTTTATTTCACTGCTAGGTCCTTCTCTGTTTGGACTCAGTTGGATATCTGATTCTGAGTTTCTCCAGATTGGCCTTTTAAAATAACGCTGGCACTATAGTCTCATTTGCGTGTTACGTACATGCTAGGCATGAAGCATGAGTGATTAGGGCTTTCGAGGAGGAAGGTGAGTTTTGTAATGCTCCACTGCATTTTTGGAAGTTATTTTGGACTGAAATAATTATTCAGAGTGGACCAGAATATAAAGATATTTAATAACTCATACTGAATGAGGCTGTGCCCTAAAAATCCTTGACAAACCACCTGCCGCACCTTATGAACTGAATGGATTCCTGTTAAAATATTTTTTTCTTGCAGAAATAGATATATTTTATTAATATGAATATATCTTTCTCAGTGTATATGGGAGCTACATATTTTAGAATGTTTTTAGAAATTATTGTCCAGTTATAAATGTAAATTATTCCTTCTGCCTCAGCAATATAATATTTTAGTCTACTGAAAATTTATGCATTGCATTCACTTCTCCACCCCTCTTCTTTAAACCTCTATCATTTCCTTACTTTGGTGTCTCAAAAAAAAAATAGAATTTATGTTTGATTCTCGTGCGTGTTTTCTACTCTGCCTGCCTGTCACTTTTCCAGAATATTATAAGATGTCACATTGGAGATAACTGATATCAGAAATGTGCCATGGGCTGACTTGACCTGGTGAAATGCCACAGAGTTTTAGCCTTTATAGATAAAATATTATCTCTATAGAATAAATATAACTGATAATTCAAACCAAAACCCTGACAGTTACCACATGCACTTTTTTCATTTACTTATCCCTTCTTATTTTCTGCCTCTTCATTCTTTTAAACCCTGAGTGGCTGAGTTTATAGCAAACCTTTGTCCATATAATTCAGCAGTTACAAACTAAGGGAACACCTTTTTTGCAAAGGTTGTCACATGTATTTTAGCAAGGTACATTTTTATTTCCTTGTTCTGGGACCAAATAATGTAAAATTTAAGGAAGTGGGTAACAATAAATTGACACCCAGCTCTGGTACTGAAGCTATTTTGTGGCTCAGAAGAGAAATATTCATCCCATTACAGAGTGGTTATTTAATTGGGAGGGTGTCACCTGATGGAGAGGTGATTGTTTGTTTGTGTTAATAACAAGGTAGAAGACATCAGTGATTTACCAGTAGGCTTTGACTTTTTGTGGCCATATTATTAGTGCAGGCAGGACAAAGTACTTCCCATCCTCATTTTGTTCTGTGCTTTCGCTGTACTAATCCCTCATGTTCTCCTATTCCTATTCCTAATTCAGTCCCATTTTATACTTGTCCAACACTTATTAACTCCCACATGCATGTGCACCCCGTCCCCCACCTTTCTATCTCAACCACTCTTGATACTTTATTTCTTCTGCCTTACAGTTGCACAAAGTTTCTTTATGTCTTTCAAATATTAATACAAATTTAGGTTACAGTATTTAAATTGTCATTTAACTCACTTCTGGCTGGTTATGTGGTTTCTGTATGCAAAGAGAACAAAATGTGTACAATATTAAAAATATGCTAGTGTGTTCCATGCCTTGGTGAAGTAGCATAAAGGGGTGAAGACCTATTACACTTATCTTGTTCAGAGGATCGCCAACTCTGTGCAGTAAATTATTCCTGACCCTACAGTGTGCCCATGTCTTTTCATACAGAGCTGAATTCTCTAGATACTGAGATGGAAAAGTCTTTTAAAATCTGATTTATAGTCTTTAAATAATATTTTTTAATTTTTGAATATTATAGTTTTAAACTTTAATTGGCTTGTTTTTAATTAATTTTGGATTTTCAATATTTTTTGTACGCTGCTTTGGGTTACCACCTAATAGAAAAGGGCAGGACAAAATTAAACAAATGATCTCTAACAAAGTAGCTTCCCTTTTAATGGTAAAATGCTCAAGGAATTTTTTTAAAGCTCTAGGGAATTTTAATTATTAATAAAATGCCCCATTCTTGCTATTTTGTGGCTTTTTTCTTTTCTGTTAGATAAATAAAACCTGGCCCATGTTTTGTCTGTGGGGGTAAGAGAGCTCGCTAAGAAATACATAGAACCCTGTCCACCTGAGTACTTTTGAGGGTTGAATGCTGAGCACTCCAGGCCATTATAGGAAACAAGATGGTACTGGGAACCCCTTATGCCTCTGCTCAGTATCATTTCTTTTTGTTCAGTTAATGAACCCAAACAGATGCTCCTTGGAAGAGCAAATATTGGGGTGCTGAATGGGGGCCTGCTGCTTTACTTGTGGCACACATGTGGGCATACATGCTAAGGGTGGGTTGGATAAACAGGGCTAGTATACCGTGGGATGGTCTCAGTGTCCTGAACAGGAAAAGATCTGTCCCATGGAATAAAGTTCCAGTGCACTTTTATGGGCTGTCTTATTGGAAAATTAATGCTATTTGAAATACAATCTGTATCTAAATATTAAAATACTTAATGAACTAATCAACTAACCAAGATTGCAACTGCAGATTTCTCTTTCTTCAGACAGAAATGTCATCATACTTCTTCTGCAAACACATATACACTTGCTGGGAATTAGTCTCCCAGAGCTCAGTGGGAGATGTCCGGGAGGCAGTGGAAGACAGGAGGGCCTGGCGTGCTCTGGTCCTTGGGGTCACGAAGAGTCGGACACGACTTAACGACTAAACAACAAACATATGTCCAATGCTATGTGTAATAATGCTGCTTTAAATATTTGCTTTTAACTAATGTTTATGTAGTAGTTGTTAGCTGCCTTGGAGGCCATTTTGATTGAAAGGTGGCCTTTAACATAAGAAAGAAGGGAAACTTTGGTTCGTCTATATTTCACCTTGAAATATGGCAGTGAGAAGGTACTGTATTCGACAAAAGCCATTGATCTGAAGAACAGACTAAAGTGTACTTGTGGGGAATTGTATTTTGCTTTAACAATAATGGGGGAATACATCCTGCTTTTAAAAGTATGCTAATGAAATATTCTCATAGCAGTAGAAAGAAAAGAATTGCACCACAGCTGTTATTAATCCAAGTCTTCGGCACCCACTTCCAGACTCTGGATGAGGAACAGGCCAGGTTAAAAGTTCCTGTGCTTGGCGGGTGAATATTTAGTATAAACGATTGGTGGTACAGCCTTCTGTCCCTCAGGCAATTAATGGCCCTTGGAGTATCAGGTAAGGTGCAAGCCCTACCTTGGTGCAGATACATCCTTTGTGTAGCAGAGCCCTGCCATAAAAGGAAAAGTGTGAAAGGCTAATCAAGCAGTGCTGATGATGGCTGTTATAATACAAGTTAGATTCAGGTTACAGTGTTGTCCTAGCATGAAGGAGATGAACTGACTGTTGTACCAGCATGATGATATTAGTGGTCCAAGTAGTCCTAATGAAGCATCTCTAAATATTCCAGCTGTATGTAACCAACATTATTGGAGTGAAAATTACAGTATACCCTTTTGCTGCCAAAACCTTCAGTAAACTAGGTCAAAATGAAATCCTGAAACGTTGCCATGGACATTCTATATTCTTAATCTTTGTCATAAAGGAATTAACACTTAATTGAATTCTTAGTATTGTAACAAAAGTTATTTATTACAGAATAGGTATTTCTTTTAAGACGAGGTCGTATAATTTCCTGATGCTTTTACAGTACAACCATTTCTCCTGATGAAGAAAACAAAACCACCTCTTAAAATGAAAAGTTTTAAAAATTGCAATAAAGAATGAGAGACATGTACTAGTGTGAATCCTAAATGGAGGGGAGGCACTTGGATTCTGCCTGTTAACCAGTCATGTCTACAAGATAGCACAGAAGATATTTGCCCCTAATGTAACTCAGAGCCTATCCAGATGGGTATATAGCTTGCTGTTTGGTTCCCTTTTCTTGTGCTTTGGTTTGAATCAAATTGAAGTGTCCCCGTGTGTTTGGACTCCATCCCTCCTCTTTTTTGGAACTGCCGCACTCCTTTTGGCCCAGCCCTAGGACTTCTGCACAATTCAGCACGCTCCTAAGCCATTATGTAGCCTTTGTAGATAGTTATTTCACACCCACATTGAGCTGTGGGCAGTGTTACCTGAAATGACAACCCTGTGACTTAACAAGTGGGTTGTGATGTTTTAATAGACAGCGAGAAATCCTGTATTTTCATTTCTTTACCCCTTTATTTTTTAAAATATTTCCCTATTATTGCCTCACTATACTAGATAATTGGGATACATTGCCGATGTTATGTGTACAACGCTAGGTACTGTAGATGCATTGCTGTTTTGCTATCACTTTATATAACAAAATAAAAAGCTAATCGCCCTGCTGAATTACAGCCATGTGAAAAGGCAGGGAAGGGGCTACGTTAGCCCTCATTCTCCCTCCCCCCCATTCGTCAACAGATGACAGCATCTCTTCCCCCCCTTTTTTTTTGTTTAGTAGTTGCTTGAGGGGGGAAGGAGATGTGTGAAAAGTACATAAAAGCATCTGGATTGGAGGCTGACTTTCCTCACACAGACCCTTTCCTGAAGAGTCACCTACGCAGGCTTTTAGAGCTCACACGTGTGACTCCTGCCCATTCCTCACTGCCTGGGATCCACCCACACCAGGCAGTGCAGCCCCAGCAGGAAAAGGGGGGGAGGGCACCACCATGAGTTTGCCATGCTGCTGCTTCTGCTGGTGCCGCCTCCTAACTTATGCATAAATCGGCTAAATTATACATGCGAGTAAATCAGGAATCCAAACCCTTCTCATGAGAGAATAAGTATCTACGGTGTGAACAGAAGGATAATTCAAATGAGAGATAAGATCCATCACACTGAAGCTAAGAGCAATTTAAGCATGAACCAGACCGCTCCAAATTCTCCATCTGGACACGCCCTCAGTCCTTTTATCCCATTAGATTGTGCTTAGCTGGCAGTTTTCAGAATTTTCCTAAGTGCTGGGAGTACTGCACTGCTTTTAGGTCATCTTTCTTTTTTTAAAGTCTGAAATAGTTCCTGTTGAGATTTGGATTTATAGATTTGCAAGGCTCATTAAGCATTATAAAATGTCAAAGCAATCTCTTCCTCTAAACTGCTGGAAAAGTAAGTTTATCCACCAATTTGTAAGCAGCATTGGTGTAAGCATTGTGCCTGAAGTGTTGTTTTAAAAGTTACTTTATGATGTTAAGGAAGCATATTTTTCAACAAGTACATTCATGAGGCTTGAAGTTCTATTGCATTTATAGATGCTTCTAATGCTGGATCAGAGCCATCACTACATTAGATTGTAGATGTGCACAGCCTTAGCTATGGCTGATGGTACATTAAACTTGCTGGAAACCTAAGCATACTTACTTGGAACTACATTTCACTGAAAAATTATTGACATCCAGGCAAATGTAAGTTCCATTTTAGATATTTAACTCTCCCTTGTTGATGTATTCAATTTACATCTAAAGCCTTGATGTATTCTATATATCTGCAGAAGAATGGTTTCATCATTGTTGTTTTGCTTCAATAATAAACAAGGAACATATTTGTTTATTTGCCAAGATCCTATTGCAGAGTTTTCTTGAACACAGCTCAAGGTTGGGCCTGAGGCACTTGTGCTACAACAAGGTGAAGGTGCTGTCCTTGAAGTAGTTCTGTTAATCACATTGTACAACTGGTTATGCTGGGGACGCACAGCTGGTTGTGCAACTCCTTGTTGCCAGGTGTAATGCCTAGAATATTTACGCAAGCATTAATCTTATATTGCACCAGCATGAACAGGGTATTTGGCCATTATTTTATTAAGATTTTTGATCCATTTAACCTATTATTAGAAAGAAAAGTATATATAGCCCATCTACCTGGGTTTAGAGGATTTGCACACATGAATAAACATCAAACAATTTCTTTTTCATCAGACATCAAATATTGATACCTCAAGGCCAGACTAGCTCATATAGCAACATGTATTTATTCAGATTTGCCACATTTTCACAGAAAATGGAGAAAGTATAGTTTTCATAAAGAGTATAAGTAATATCACTGAAACATTCCCCTTCCTCACTGTATTTTGTTGCTTTGCTCTGAGATTGTTTCCAATCTCTGGAGAAGAAAGTACCTGAAGCAGCAGTAGAGAACAGTGAAGTAGAGAAAGTCTGACTCCCGTAACATCATGCTGCTTTTCATATCAGAAGCATACCACTTGCCCCTGCTTTATAGGCAAACAGGGCAAACATATAATAAGCACATGACTTTACAAGTCTTATATTTAGGGATCCTTGGATTCTAAGGCAGTAGTGATCAAAGAACTTTAAATCCAGCATAGTCAGAGCTCTGACCGCTTCTGGTCAAAAATAGTCTGATTGTCTTGACATTTTAATTGGTCTTTGATTTTACCTATATCTCATGTGTATCCATGATTCTGAATTGTGCAACACTCTGATACAGTAAAATGCTGTGAAAATGTCAACTACAGTATTTCAATTTGTTACAGGCTCATTCCTGAATCTCCTCGATGGTTGATCTCACAAGGAAGATTCAAAGAAGCTGAAACAATTATTCGGAAGGCTGCTGAAAGAAATGGCATCCAAGCCCCAGCAGTATTGTTTGATCCCACAGAGGTAAATTCCACTGATTGTATGTTGGTGTTTTTGTTTGGGTTAGATAATAGTTTGAAAGTCACATTTAAGAGTAATTAACATGTCGAAGGATAATGCTCTGTTTCCCAAAGTATTACCCTACCATGGTTCAGTTATGGATGGCTTTAGCATGTCATGGCACGTATTCTTCTTTAAAATGACTTTCTCTGTATTAAGCAGATCCCAATCTGGACTATTAGTAAGTATTATATACTTAGAACTTGCAGCTAATGTAAAGTAGACATTGGCTCATGTATATCATTGTTGATGTGAGAGTTAATTATTAACATAAAAACCAAGAACTATTAATTTAACAAGAGACTGGCATCTCTCAGAGACTGATTCTTCTATTCCTGGTGACATCTTTGGGAGCATTGATTAAGCAAAATTATTTAAGTGGCTTAGAGAATGTTACCTCAAGTGCAAAAGTCCAGTAAAATTCTGTCCACTGTACAGTATATGGATACAATAGATCATCCTCTGCCTCTTGAAGCCCAGTCTACTGTCAGCAGAATATAGGAGCAACCAGGATGCCAATTCCTAAACAATGATTTAGGTATACCCAAGATATCCAGTGATTTAAAAATAGTAAAATGTATCTTCCAAAATCCCCATATGACTTTCAATGGCTACCAACTTTATCCTGTACAACTTTAGAACTTTATCTATGATTTGTGGAGTCTTTTAATTTCCTTGACTCTGCATTCTCAGTTGTCCTTCCCAACTGTACAGGACAACCACAGCTGAGTGTAGGCCTTTCTAATGTTATTATAAAAGGATGGCATTATCCTGGGAGAAATAACACTTCTCCCTATTTGAGTTGACAAGTAGTTAACCATTCTGGCCCTGTTGTGGTAATAGATATGTGTGTGCGTTTGTTCTACTGCTTTGTTATGGTATTGAGTAAAATATGTGACAGTCTGGCTGAAATCCTGCTGCATAGGATTTACTCCATGTAATGTGGAGTTATAGCTAGACAGCCATTGACATTACCTGGCAACAAATTGGATTCCAGACACTATTTCATCCCCTAACACTGTAGAACCTATAGTCCTTTAACAATAGAAAAGACGAAGAGTGATTTTTTTTCAGCCTAGATTTCATGGTTCAGTGTTCATCAGAGAGCTGGGGTTAGTTCCTTTGTGTACAGCTGGCCTTGGCTCTTTAACTCGTACCATCAGCCTCATCCCTAGCATTTATAAAGCTCCTAGAACATATTCTATTCCTCAATTTGAGAAGATTTAAATGTACAATAGATTAACTTCCTTTTATAAGTTGTTATGTTCAAGAGCTACAGTCCTTGAAGGCCCACTGTAACCAGTTTGGTGTACAGTCTGCTGGTGAAACCTGCTATGGCAACACTGGCTGGGAGTGATACACACTTTTAGAAGGTTCCTCTGTCTTTCAGATAAATGTAGGCACTTGGCCTTGTCAAGCAAGGACCATCCAACTTCAGGTGCCTGTGTCAGGACATATTTTAGATCTGCTTTAATTACGTATTTAAATACATTTCTATCTCACCTTTCTTCTCCTATGAAGTTCCAGGAAGTTTCCCAATCCAACCCAACCCAAGGAGAAAATTATTACTGGGATTAGGAGTGTATTGCAGCTTGTTGGCATGAACAGATCATTAGCAGAACAAGGAGGACTTATATTGTCTGTAGGTGTTGAGGGCCAGATTGTAATGTTCTTCCCTTGTAGACTGATGAAGGCAGATGGCTTTCTAAGGTCTCCGGGGAATTTTCTTATGCATTTAATTGGCACTTCTGCCAAGACTTTAATATTCCCTTAGAATGAGGGGATGACATGGACTAACAGTATGATCCATTTACAAAAGTCCTTGACTGAGTTGCAGAGCCACATTGGCTCCTTGGTATTCTAATAGTGAGGTTGGTGAATTGAAAGATTGATTATTATAATGGAAGCAGTGGAAGACTCATAATAACAAGTACTAGTAATCACATATAAGAATCAATCTTCACGCCTACTCTGAGGGGGCGATAGCACAAAGAACCAGTAATTAGTGCTGTAGGTCCAGGTAAACATGGTCAAAGCAGAAACATAATGGTGGTGGAGCACTCTGGTTATTTGGAGAGTTTCGTGGGGCCAATCAATAGCTGTTCCATCAGATTGATCAAAACAGTTTCCCATGTTTTAACTTGATTATTGATATTCAGACCTTTGAGTATGTTTGTGTGCTTCTAATGTTTCCCCCCTCCTCTTCCATGTTCCTTCCTAAGATAGAGGATTTGAAGGCCAAATCAACGCAGGGCATTATTCTGGACTTGTTCCGAAACAGAAACATTGCAGTAATAACAGTTGCGTCTCTTCTCTTATGGTAAGTAAATGTGAGATCTTAAAGCATGTTGTGAAGAAAAGAATATCTGTATTCTCAACAGCTCAGAAAACCCACAACAACCAAAAGAATATCTGTTTGAGGCCCAGTAACAGCAGCATACACCACAGTGTAATCCCTTCTTCTAGGATACATATATTACTACATTCTAATAGGATTTCTTTCTGGTCCACATATGAGTTGCTTGAATTCCTCCACAGTATGTAATACCATGTTGTAAATTATAATATATATTGTCAACTCATCAATGTCAATAGGAACATTTATGTGATTACTTTCTGATATTGATGGTGAGTGGTGGGACTATATCCTCTCATATTCAAAAACATCCCAGCAACAAAAGTTCCTCTAGGTGTTTGCCAGCTTTCCTTCCTTGACATCTTAACAGATTTAAACAGAGGGCTAAATTCAGTTGCCACTCCCCATTATAACAAATCCATTAAACTGATGAGATTTACCTAAGTGTCCACTTAGCAAGTGCCATTCATTTAGTGGGTCTGTTCTACTTGGGACTAACAATTGGATTTCACCCAATTCACAGAACTGGACTGCAAAAAAAATAAATAGCAGTGACAAAAAATAGCTACCCCCTCCCAAAAGGAACAGCCCACTAAAAATTCTTCCACCCTGAGGTTCAGATATGAATAGCTTTCAGCAGGGGGAGGGGGCTGGACCACCTAAACTAGAAACTTCCATCATCTCATATTTACCTCCCCTCTCCTCAAGCCATATTCTCATCAGAAGGCAATCTCAGTCCATTAACTGAGGAGTGGGTTCTTAGTAACATCCTCAGAGATATTATATACTTGAAGATATTGTCTATCCACCTCCTTCAGCTTCCTCGGCTACCTTGGCTTCAAGGGGGCATGCTTGTTCCACAAAGACCAGGAGCTCTAAGCACACATCCACAACCCCTGTCCAGCTAGCCAATAGCCATGCAAGTGATACTCCTACTACATTCTATTACACCCCTGTAGGTTTTCTAAATAAACTGTTTTGATAACTGGGAGCTGATATAAACAAAGGCTACCCCTTATGTGGGGTCATGTCAAGCACTGGACCTGCACTGAAAAGACAGTGAATTTGGGTAAACAAAAGATTGAGATAACTTTGCAACTAGTAAGCACCATTCTTTTGAGGTAAAGTCTCCACGGTTAAACAGCAGATATGCAGAAAAATACAAGAAACTGATGGTGGCTTCTCAGATCATAAAAGTTTCTAAAAGATCACATATAATTTGATTGATTGATTGATTGATTGATTGATTGATTGGTTTATTTATTTATTTATTTATTTATTTATTTATTTATTTATTTGATTTATACCCCGCCCATCTGGCCTATAAGACCACTCTAATGTAAGTGAGAAATGAGAAGCTTCTTATATGTGTGAAGTTGCAGAATTGAAGCCTAGCATTGGAGCTGGCTAGATCGCTGAATGAAGTGGAGGGTCAGGAGTTTATGCCTGAAGAGCTAGCCTGTTTAGCTTTGGGCAAGCTACACAGTTCCAGAGTGCCCCCAGAAAAAGGGGACTGATAAATCACTTCTGATTACTTTGCCTAGGAAACCCTAGCAGAGGGCACCAAAAGTGAGATGGTACACCATTCTTATTTATGCATATATTGGGTATCTGTATAGTAATATTATAGAATAGGGGACTGCTATAAACATTTAATATTAAAAGCATTGTTAATGTACTGTACTATGTTCTTCAACTATGATAAATGTAGTCTTTTAGTGTGCTACTGAATAACAGGAGGATAGCTCTGAGTTATAAACAAGCAGAAAAAAAGATGACTCCAAATGGTGCTGAGATAAATACAAATATTAGTTAAAACTACTCAGTACCTGTTGTCCATCACAGTAAATCTTGTCAGTATTGTCACTGAGAACACTAACAAGTGGTACTTATCTACATTATAGCCTAATTAGTAGCTTCTTGCTGACATCTGGCTGAATTGGAAATCTGAGTGTATCAGCAAGGTAATCACTAAGTACTTGAAGAAAAGTTGCTATTATATTTTATCAGATGAGTGCACTTTAGTAGAAGATTGTGCACATGCAGTAGTAGGATACAAAATAAGTAACCTAAGTTTGTTATATCTGTATATGTATTACAGATTTGGTTAAATAATACTGTGCATGCCAAGGCCTTTTATATTTGCTTCTCTTTCTCTTTTTTTCTCTGTTTCAGGATGTTTACATCTATTGGTTACTTTGGCCTGTCACTTAATACCCCAAATCTGCATGGGAATATCTACATCAATTGTTTCCTGTCAGCAGTAATTGAAGTTCCAGCCTATGTGATCGCTTGGCTTCTCCTCCGGATCTTGCCCCGATGTTACTCAATATCTAGCACCCTCTGCCTGGGAGGAGGAGTTGTTCTTTTTATTCAGCTGGTACCTCCAAGTATGAGCATACACAAGTACTATGCATATATTGACATTTGACAATGTTGAACAAGGGATTTACTAAAAAATCAGATATTGGAAAATAGAAAATTTTAACGGAACATGTGAGTGGGCAAGCCAGTTCCAGGGGCCGGACTCAACGTTAGGTGCACCTAAGATGGGGATATTCATAATTAGATTAGAGATGGGGATATTCATAATTAATTAATTTAATTAATTTTTACTAGTCAGAAGACTTGCAGTAGTGATGGGCTGGAAACCAGACCCAAGTCCACTGCCATTGGCTATTGGAACAGTTAAATTTGGTGCTGTGTAGCTCCTACACTTGTCTTAAGCCAATGTTTCTTAAGTTGTTCATATCTTCCAAAAGTACATTAACTTGCTTTAATATATATATATTTTTTAAAGTATGGAAAATGTGCAAATGTGGTTACTAAAGAGCATAGAGATCTTAATACTCCTTTTTCCTGTTTCTGCAGACCTTCATATTCTGTCTGTCACCTTAGTGATGCTGGGAAAATTTGGGATCACATCAGCCTTCTCCATGCTCTATGTCTATACTGCAGAGCTCTACCCAACCATAGTGAGAAATATGGCAGTGGGTGCCACCTCCATGTCGTCTCGGGTGGGCAGCGTCATTGCTCCTTACTTTGTTTACCTTGGTAAGAAATATCCTGTTATTGCTTTTACAACAAATAGTCGTCAAAAGAAAATGCTTCATGGTTTGAATATTCTTCTGAACATGTGCAGAATCTCCTGGCAGACTTTCCTCTGATTTCTTGGTTTCCCAACATTCTTGTGCTTATTGCATGTGGTTGAGTCAGTCCTCCCTTCAAAACATGCATTTCAAACTTGCAGCATGAAATATTGCTTTACGTGTGTACAAATGTACCTACTAAGTACAATTAAAAAATAATATTCAGCTCAGACCCCATGCAGGATTATGGCTACTGTTAGTGACTTGAAGTAGTATTACTAGAATATTTAGTAGCATAGTAGTATAGTATTCAGTGTGGATGCAGTAGTCCTACATATCATTTGTTAATTATGAAGCTCATGAACCAGTGCATATGTTTTCTCACCCCTGAAACAGTGAGTATATTTTCAATATGTCTCTCTCATGGGATCATTGTGAAAGATGAAATAAATAAAACCATGAACACTTTTGTATCAAAAAATGACCAGTGAAAAGTTTAATACTCTCCACGAATTATACATTTTATTTAGCTTGCTAGTCCTTAACAGAGGGGCTTCTGAAGACAGGAGAGTTAATTAAGTTTTTTTATATTAAAATTTCTTCAGAATAAGAAGTACAGGTAAAGGATATTGCCAAGAATATCATTCCTACACCAAGTGGTATAAGTCCTTACACACATGGCTATAATAGGCCTCCTAATGCGTGGTCTCCTGAAATTTAAAAAGCCTCAAGGGTGAGGCATGATGCTTGGAGAGAGATTACACCCCTTGCTTTCTGGCCATTAAGTTTTAAGGTCAGTCAGCTTCACCTAAAGTGACCATAATGGGATCATATTAAATAGTCATCTGATGATCTTAATGATTACTTCCTGATTTAAACAAAGACCACATATTTCGGTGAGGTTCTGTTCACATACCAACTCCCTTAGATTAGAATCTAGAAGTCATAACAGTTTTTTACTTTCATTTCCCCAAAATGGTTAGCTCAAGCCAGCACAATAACGAAAAACATATTCTCTCGTTTCCTCTGTACTGGGCTTTCTAGCATCTTAAACTTGTCGGCATTGGAAAAATCACTGCCAGTTGGTGACTTTCCTCCTGTCTGTGTCAGTGATTAAGGTTCCAAATGAGTCTTTAGACAAAGCAGCAACTGAAGTAGGTAAGATTGGATCCAGAAGGCTTTTAATTGAAATAATATCAGCTGTAGGTCTGATGGCCATTTTTAGAGTGTATATTTTTAATTGCATTTCAATTATTTTGCCTTTTTTTGTATTTTAAATGTTGTAAGCCGCCCAGAGATCTTCGGTTAGTGTGGGCGGCATATAAGTTAAATAAATAAGATTGATAAATATTGTTCCAATAAAAATGGTAAGCAAAGGCTGCTTGATCTTGACGTTGCAGGAGGGAAAGGATGAGATTAAAATAGAATGTTTTAATTATACTCTGTCTTCATGTAACTGTGTAGTAAAAACTTGTCACTTTCTGTTGTTTCACCAGGTGCCTATGATAAATTTCTACCATATATCCTTATGGGCAGCCTAACTGTATTTGTAGGGATTCTCACACTTTTCCTTCCAGAAAGTTATGGCAACCCTCTGCCAGAGACACTTGAAGAGATGCTACACATTAAAGGGTAAGCAGGATTCACTGAAATATAGATGTACTTTGATACTATATCAGCTAATGAACGTCAGACCAAGGAACAAAAAGACAAATTGACACAGAGTTTTTCAAGTACTAACAGCAGCAGGAGCTGTACAAAGCCGCAAGGGAAAGCATATTTCTTTAAAGTCCCTACATACTGAATGTTTGCATTTGCACAGTGAAGAGGAGGTTTGCATACTTTGTGGGGGGAAACGTAGATGTTTTTATATGCTTAACTCTTCTAGAATAAATGAAAAGCTGTTTAAAGCCTAATTTCTTCTCTATTCTGGAATAATCCAGTACTTTGCTTTAAGAAATAATTACTATCTTGGCTTCAAAATTACATGTGTTTCCTTATTCTGCTGCTCATTTTTGTACATGTAGGTTGTCAAGCTGAGGCATGGAGGGAAACAGAGGATGTGATAGCCCTTACCTTACACTCTCTGTATTGTATGAACATACTTCCAGTCTAGAATACCTTACTTCCTTGTAGCTAGAATTGGACAGATGATTTGTACAGGGAACAGCTAGCATTTCTAGTGTGCATGCATGCATTGTCTGCTGGAAAAAGAGAATGTAGATTCTTCTTTGTGCTATTATCCAGGCCTTGCAGGGCATGTGAGCAGAGCTGATCTAGTCACTTTAAACTCCAGTAGAACTGATCTTTTTACTCTGGTCATGATCTTCAGTCATTTCATTTTACCTGTTGAAACTGCCTTGGAATATAACCTACAAGTAGTACCACCAATTCGATTCTTCTGTATCTAGTAGGCATTTTGAAAGTCCTCTGGTAGTATCAGTGTTGTTCACAGGGCGATCTTCTGTTCTGTTTTTAATCAGATGCTTTTTTTAAAAAGTACTCCTGAATGAATTATGGATTTTTCTTTCCTGGCACAAACCTTCCCATTTATTTTAAAATCCTCTCTCCCCCTCCCCCATATATAACTATGAGGAATGTGGGGGTAAAGTTGCCTTCCTAACCTTTGCCTATTACATGGTTCAGTCTGCTAAATTAAAGTGATAAAGCAAACTTCCGTATGTGGAAAAAGATCGCTATCATGAAATTTCAAATTATTTGATCAGCTGTTAAAATACTAGTTTCTAAATCAAATTAAATAATTTGGTGTGTGACCAGGATTGGCAAATTTTCTTGTTCTCTATGATTTTCCAAATCTCCCCATGCCAAGGATCGCCACTAGCATTTCCCCCTTAAATTCCAAGAAATCCCACAAGGTTTAGCATGGGAGGAAAAAACTGGCACAGATCGATGTTGCTTTGATTGGCTTCTTTACAAGAGTGAAAGACTATGAGGTTCATATCTCTACTCAGGGGATTTTCTTACAAGCCTAATGGTATTTTAAATATCTCATCCATTTTTATTTTGTGCTCAGAAAAAAAGTGGACTTATTTTTTTTTGTAAGCTCCATGGTAATATATTTATCTTTTGTCTTTGGAATGCTCCGAGCATTGAGTTATCAATGATGTCCAAGCAATCCTAGAGCTCAATACGCTCATGTTTGTTGTTTAGTCGTGTCCAGATACTTCATGACCCCATGGACCAGAGCACGACAGGCCACTGCCTCCCAGAGTTGGGTCAAATTCATGTTGGACGCTTCGATGACACTGTCCAACCATCTCGTCCTCCGTCGTCCCCTTCTCCTCTTGCCTTCACACTTTCCCAACATCAGGGTCTTTTCCAGGGAGTCTTCTCTTCTCATGAGATGGCTGGAGTATTGCAGCCTCAGCTTCAGGATCTGTCCTTCCAGTGAACACTCAGGGTTGATTTCCTTCAGAATGGATAGGTTTGTTCTCTTTGCAGTCCAGGGGGCTCTCAAGAGTCTCCTCCAGCACCACAATTCAAAAGCATCCATTCTTTGGCGGTCAGCCTTCTTTATGGTCCAGCTCTCACTTTGTTGGCAAGGTGATGTCTTGCTTTTTAAGATGCTGTCTTGGTTTGTTATCGCTTTCCTCCCAAGAAACATGGCTGGTGTCACCATCTGCAGTGATCATAGACGCCAAGAACGTAAAGTCTGTCACTGCCTCCATATCTTCCCCTTCTATTTGCTAGGAGGTGATTGGGCCAGTGACCATGATCTTAGTTTTATTGATGTTGAGCTTCAGACCATTTTTGTGCTCTCTTCTTTCACCCTCATTAAGAGGTTCTTTAATTCCTCCTCACTTTCTGCCATCAGAGTGCTATCATCTGCATATCTGAGGTTGTTGATATTTCAATCTTAATTCCAGTTTGGGATTCATCCAGTCCTGCCTTTTGCATGATGTATTCTGCATATAAGTTAAATAAGCAGGGAGACAATATAGAGCCTTGTCGTACTCCTTTACCAATTTTGAACCAATCAATTGTTCCACTTCCTGTTCTAACTGTTGCTTCCTGTCCCACATATAGATTTCTCAGGAGGTAGATAAGGTGGTCAGGCACTCCGATTTCTTTAAGAACTTGCCATAGTTTGCCTTGGTCCACACAGTCAGAGTGTTTTGTGTAGTCAATGAAGCAGAAGTAGATGTTTTTCTGGAACTCTCTGGCTTTCTCCATAATTCGGCGCATGTTAGCAATTTGGTCTCTAGTTCCTCTGCCCTTTCGGAATCCAGCTTGTACTTCTGGGAATTCTTGGTCCACATACTGCTGAGGCCTACCTTGTATGATTTTGAGCATAACCTTGCTAGCATGTGAGATTAGTGCAATTGTACGGTAGTTGGAGCAATCTTTGTCATAGTTGGTAGCAAAATTACAACTGCCTTGCCTGTTTATCTGGCCTGGCAGGTGGGTGGACGTATTTGTGTGCATACTTGGCCCTCGAAAATCTTGAACATATATGTTGTTTTCACTCTGAAAAGTGTGCAGACCCTTGATCTAGCCCAAATGACCTCAGCCATGATTTTTTAATCTGTATAGTCCCAAATAAAAAGAGTCCACTTCAAGAGCACCAATTCAGTATTTCAAATTGTTATATCAGGATGTACAACTTTTTAAATAGAAGGGTGTCCATACAGAGATGTGGCAGAAAATTCAAGATCGGTCAAACCAAATGAAGATGGGAGCTCAAGCCCTAATCTGTGGGCATCCCAGCTTTGTGGCCTTCTTGCTTAGCACTTTGCTGATCAGATCACCTGCTGCTCTTCCACGCTAGATACATTCTATGGAGGGTCTTAGGTAGGAGATCGTTTAGTCATGTCCGACTCTTCGTGACCCCATGGACCAGAGCACGCCAGGCCCTCCTGTCTTCCACTGCCTCCCGGAGTTGTGTCAGATTCATGTTGGTTGCTTCGCAGACACTGTCCAGCCATCTCATTCTCTGTTGTCCCCTTCTCCTCTTGCCTTCACACTTTCCCAACATCAGGGTCTTTTCGAGGGAGTCTTTTCTTCTCATTAGATGGCCAAAGTACTGGAGCCTCAGCTTCAGGATCTCCAGTCCTTTGTCCACATAATCCCCAGTCAGTCCCAGAGGTTTACTAGAAGGGATAAATACTTCAGACTGGCCATCACCCAGACCAGAAGCCAGGAGATGGAATCCTGTAATTGACAACAATTCCCACATTCCAACCCTCCATCTTATGCCTTTGCCATACTAAATACCCAGAAGGAGCACAGCGGAAGATGAACCGCTCAGTTACACAAGCCAAGCCAAATTATTCCAGAATGTTGCTTTGGCAGTAGTACAACTAAGCCAGAGAAGTTGTTGGTCAGATAAAGAAGAATTTTCCCATTGGAAAGAGCCAGAAAAGGAAACAGGTGTGCAATGTCTTCCCTCCTTTTTGCTTTTTCAGCCTGTGCCGATTTTACCATCCCACTTCTGACAGCCAGTCTTCAGGGACAATACTATCCTTCCCCAGATTACCCAGATGTACAATTAAAGCCATAGGGGGGGGAATTAAAAAGAGTAATGCTGTCATGGCTTTCAGATGGGTGTCAGCCTTACTTTTCAATACAAGTTGGTATTACCTGACAGAAAACTGCTGAGCGAGGGCTGGGCTCCAGTAGATGATAATTATAACTCACTGTCAGATGCCTGTGGTTGAAATTGGTTGTCTAGAACCTTGTACTTGTGATAGAGTTTAGGGTGGGGACAAGCATGTTTCTGGATAAGGGCATGAAGTTAAGCTCTCTCCTGCAAAATTTCAATCCTAAAATGACACTGCTTTTGGTGGATGAGCCTATTCTTGCTTTGTTGTTGTTATGTGCCATCAAATTAGAACTGATCTACAATGACTTTAATAGGAATTCAGGGTAAATGAGATAACTTTAAAAAATGGTTTTACCAGTTCCGCATGCCCAGTGAGTTTCTATGCTGGTGTAGGGATTTGAACCCAAGCCTCTTGAATCCTAGTCCATCATTCTGTCCTCTTCACCACACTGGGTATCCTCGTGGTCACTCAAAAGTAAATCCTTTTCTGTTCAATAGGATTTAGTTCCTAGTAAGTAGTATGTTTAGGATTGCCTTGATTAAATTAGAAGTGTTCCTTGTTTACATACTTCAGGCTATATAGGATGATATTTGGCAACAACAGAATTACAGGAACGTTCCATGAAAAATGTAAAAACTAGTAATTTATCTTTCTTCTTTATGGCCTCTGTAAATCACCCTGGGTAATTCCCGCATCCGCAGAGCCTCATTGGAAGATTCTAGAGCTTCTGCAGTAGCAATAAACACATTAGAATATGCCCCTCCCCACCCGTATAAGTACCTTGGTGCCAAGCATCCCCTTTCAGTTTCTTTCAATCGCTACATTGAGAGCCTCATAATTCTGCTTCTGTGAGTAAAAGGGAAAGAGAGCTTATTCTTGATTCCTTCCTGTTATCAATCTTTTTTCTTTTAAACTATTAGATCAAACTCTTTATCATCAGAGATTTTTCCTTTCCCTTCGCTCAGCCTCCAGCCACAGCAATCATCGGTTTTCCTCCTCACTTATTTTCTCCTAATCACGGCCCCCTTTGGGTCCATTTAAGCACTGCATTGTCTGTGATAATAAGATCCCACTTTCCGATGGACACACTAAGTGCCTTTTCTGTTTGGGAGGAGAACATCAAACTTCCTTCTGTACCCATTGCAAAAATGTTAAGCGCAGAGTTCTTCGATCTTGCCTCTTGAGGCTAAAACTCCAACTTTGGGAACCATCCTTACAACCAGTTCAAACGGCCCAACCTCCCTGTAGGGCCACTTCCCAAATTAAGCTGTTACTGAATCATTGAAACAACGTCCATCGGCTACACCAGCTCATTCCGATTCTCCATCTGTATCATCGAAGACCTCGAAGGCACACAATTCGAATCCCTCGATACTGAAGTCCTTGATTTTGAAAACAACTTATAAACTACTGAAGCTGTTCCAGCTCCGGAGCCTGTTCCTCCTAAACAAGCTAAACAGTCTAAGCCTACAGACATCCCACCACAACCACAACTCTCTGAATCAATTTCGGTCAGATCTCCCTCAGATGATGACAGACCTCCGTCCCATCAGCACTGTTCTTAGTCTCCAGAATGGGATGATAGAGTTGACCAGTTAACATCCTCTCCTCCCAGTCCACAACCTTCCATTCCTTCCAGCAATCCTTCGGTTATTTGGCTACCACATCCACTTCTTCAAACTTCCTCTGACAACACATTTCGTTACTCCTCCGTCACAACCCCTGCAAGAAGAAATAACAAATTTACTTCTCAAAGATGCCATACAACCGTCTATCAAAACAACACTGGGTTTTTCTCTCGCCATTTCACCATCTCCAAGAAAGACGGGGGATTTTGCCCTATTCTAGATTTAAGATTATTAAACAACTACATTATCACCAAAAAATTCTGCATGGTTACTCTAGAATCAGTTCTTCCCTTACTTCGAAAAAATGACTGGTTCGCCGTCATAGACCTAAGAGATGCTTACTTTCATATTGCAGTACATCCTGCACACAGAAAATTCCTTCATTTCCAACTTGGATCACAAGCATATCAATTCAAAAGACTCCCATTCGGCCTTGCAACAGCTCCAAGAGTATTCACGAAGTGCATGGCGCTGGTAGCCACCTACCTCAGACTTCAAAACGTTCTCGTCTTTCCATATATCGACGACTGGCTCCTTGTAGCACACTTTTGTCGCAAAGCTTGACGAGACACCCGTTTCACCATCGCCCTTCTTCGCAATCTCGGTTTAACTATCAACGAACAGAAATCAAAATTAAAACCTACAAGGAGTATACACTACATAGGCACGCTCATAGACTCCATATGAGCTTATGTGTTCCTCCCTGCAGAAAAGAGACAAAATCTCTTCACCTTACTTTGCAGCTTCACTCCATATGCCTTGATACCTGCCTTAACGGTGCAACGAGTTCTAGGCACCATGGCCTCTATGATGTCAGTTGTACAGCATATGTGTCTCAAAATGAGATCTCTCCGATCCTGGTTTCTGGCCCTATTTGATCCACTAACAGACTCTCCTCACACTCTCCTAAGAGTCACTCCAGAATTGGCCTCTCAACTTCAGTGGTGGCATTCCCATACCAACCTTTCTCTTGGGCGACCATTCCAACAACTTCACCCGCGAATACAAGTCACTACAATACCAACCTTTCTATTGGGCGACCATTCCGACAACCTCACCCGCGAATACAAGTCACTACTGACGCCAGTTGCACCGGCTGGGGGGCTCATTGCAAATCCCTCACAGTCCACGCCAAATGGTTTTACAGAGAAAAACTGCTTCACATAAATGAGTTGGAGCTACTAGCCATCATAAAGGCCTCCAAGGATTTCAGAAACCTTCTTGTAGGAAAAATGGTACAGCTTGCTACCGACAACACCACGGCGATGTACTACATCCTAAAACAAGGCAGCACCCACTCCCTAGGTCTCCTCTACCTAGCAGTTGACCTCTGGGAGTGGTGTCTGCAACGTCACATCCCTCTGGGAGTGGTGTCTGCAACATCACATCCGTCTCACAGCCTTACACGTCGCTGGTCAAGACAACGACCTAGCAGACTTGCTCAGCTGTACAGATGCCCAAGCTCACAAGTGGGAACTAGGTCAATCAGTATTCCGCCAACTATGCTGGAAATGGGGCACACCGGCTCTCTATTTCTTTGCCTCCTGAGCGAATTGGAAATGCCAACTGTATTGCTCCTGAGCAGAAATAGGAAAACATTCACAGGGAGACACATTTGTCGGCCATTGGCCCAAGACTCTTACCTACCTTTTTCCACCATTCCCTCTCCTCCATAAAGTTGTCATCCTTCTACAACAAGACAAAACCAATGCCATCATTATAGCCCCTTGGTGGCCGAGACAGACTTGGTTCACAGTTGTCTGCAGTCTCTCATCAGACATCCACCATCTCCCCCGCCTGCCACACCTTCTCACATAGAACAACTCCCAAGTCCTACACCCGGACTTACCTGTTCTGCACCTGGCAGCATGGAGGATTCTCCCTCATTAATGAACATTCTTCATCATGTCAAAAAACCATCCACAAGGAGAGCCTGCTTGTACAAATGGAAGAAATTTCAGTCCTTTACCAAATCTTCCTCATCATCCTCCATCAATCTATCACTTTCCACTGTTCTCTGCTTCCTACTACATCTCAAATCCAAGGGCCTCTCCATCTCATCTTTCAGAGTCTACCTTTCCTCAGTAATATATCAACTTCCAAATTCTCCAGCAGCAAACTTCTTCAAACATCCAACAATGAAACGTTTTCTGAAAGGTCTCTCTCATATTTACCCTGATACTCAACCTCCCTCTCCACTATGGTCACTAACTCTTGTTTTGAAACAGCTTACCAAAGCTCCTTTTGAGCCATTAGCTACAAGTGACTTACTGCTCCTCACCTTTAAAACAGCTTTTCTCATAGCCATCACCTCAGCTCGACGAGCTAGTGAATTGGCAGCTTTACGCTTTGACTACCTTTATCTACAGTTTTTTCCCAATAAGGTGAAGTTATTCATCGACATTTCATTCCTCCCCAAAATTGTTTGCTTACTATTAAGCGGTGGTTGACACAACTGAAAGGTGGGCACTTTGCGCCATGGTAGTTATACAGGTGGGGAGGGGCATATTCTAATGTGTTTATTGCTACTGTAGTAGCTCTAGAAACTTCCGATGAGGCTCCGTGCCGGCGTGAATCACCAAGGTGTGAATCACAGAGGTCCACTCGAAGAACTACAATTACAGGTGGGTAACCTGTCATTACTCTTTCTGATTTACACGATTTCCTGTTCATTTACAGATTCAAGAACAGAAAAAAGACCTACAAAATAGGAAGTACAAAGCAGCATGAATCAAACAGCAGGCATCCGAGAACATCATGTTGATCATGATCATATTGATCATTACATGAAATGGACAATCAGAAGTTGTTAAAACATAACTGAAGATAAATGAGAAGTCATAAACACTATTAAGGAGGTTTGATGATTCTGTAATTCACAATACTACTGTGTCAAAATGTGGTTTGTCCCTAAGTTGCTGCCAGTATATGTAAGGCTTCTCAGCATTTTGTTTCTGTGCCTTGGTTTGGAGGTTTGTTTGGTGACATCTTCAACACTTCTGCTCCCTGAAATGTAGGTAGAATGTGTTTTGGGGGTGGGTGGGGACAGGCCATCAACAAGTGTCAAGAGGAGTAAAATACTGTTGGCACAGAAATTTAAGAACTGGTGACCTACCAACGTCTTTTGAGCCTCAAAACACTTTTAAAAAGCTCTAAGACAAAACAGAATGAGCCTCTATTTGCTGTTGTTTAGGTTTGTTTCTTTTAAAGAAGTAATTGCTGTTCAAGCGAGTGAGGCTTTTATTAAAGGAATAAACTTTAAAGAAGTTTGGCCCTGATAAAATACAAGTATAATGTTTGTTTCTTTTTTAATTAAACATATATTCTTTGGAATATTTCTTCCATCCATCATGCCAGATGATAGTTTTTCAAGCAAGACAGCATTATTTGGTAGTACTGCTTCTTTAGGAAGTTTGATAGACTGTAAAAGGGAGAACAATTAGTGTAAACAACAGAATATAAAGAGAAAACAATCCACAAATTAAAACTTTCACCTTCTTTCTCCTTCCTTAAATTCTTTGTACCTGTGGGACATACTATACCAAAGATATTCACTGGGTCCAAAGCCACAGCTTTAAAGAAGTAACTTCTTAGGGTCAAGACTAGAGATGGGGATGAATTAAAAATGGTTATTCATTTTGATCCGTTATTCGTCAAGGTTAATGGATCAACAAATATGAAAATATGAATATTAATTGATGAATCAATCCATCGATTTGTGAGCACTTTAAATGGCTATAACATTAGCCCCTGATGGCCTGGAGACACCAAGTTTGCAGGGAAGCATACTCTGCCGCTTTTCTACAACTCCTGAAAGTTTGGTGAACATTGGATCACAGACCCCCAAGATGTATAGTCACAAACAGGACTCCCCAGGAAACCTCTCCCCAGGTACTTAGAGAATCCAGAATCACAACAGATCCTTCTATGTCTTTCCCCAACGTGTCTGCCAAGTTTGGTGAAGATTGGATATTGGAACTCCGAGTTATTCACCCACAAATTGGGTCCCCCCAGGAGAGTTTACCACACGGCAGAGAAGCCCATTGAGGGAATTATATTTTGGGGCAATGGGATGACACCCGGACAGGCTTTGGGTGGGGCTGAGACAGGCCCTCTTTGGCACGGGGGACGTCCGGACAGGACACAGACAGGCTTTGGGTGGGGCAGAGCCTGGTCTAGGAGACTCACCTGTCCACCAACATCTAACTAGACTTGCTGACAACCTTCAGAGAAACAAAGATGCTTGTCTAGAACTAGAAAGCTGGGAATTGCAACTTGGCTGCTGGCACAAAGCCCCCCCCCCAGTATAATGTAATTTGGAAGGTTCACCTT